AATGTATGGCACCGTGCTCACCCGGCCTGCTGCGCGCAGGTGACGTGGAAGGCGCTGTAGCAGTTACTCTTGTGGCACTGGATGCACGCGCCCACGCTGCGCTGCTTGCAAACCATGCACTGCAGCTTCCAGCGCGCTGCCGGGATCATCTCGATCGAATCTGGCGACGGAAAGTACTTCTTATTGCTTTGCTATTAGGGTTGATGACTAAATTGGTCAACTATTTATATTTAAACGACTTCAAAAAAAGGAGGTTCTCAATTTCACCTGTTTGTATGTATGTTTGTGCGCAATTATCTCGCGACTTGCTGAACCGATTTTGATGCGGTCTTCAAGTGTTTGTTACACTCCAGAGGTTGTAGTACCTATACTAATTAATCGACTTCAAAAAATGGGGAGTTGGAGTTGGGTTTTTGAAACGCAGTTTATAAAAGAATTATTTCGAAACGACGTTGGCACGTAACAACATTTGACTAAATGTCAACATTGGAGTGGAATTCTTTGCTAGTATGCATTTGAAGGGTATACCCTGGGTGTCTTCAAGCCCCGAGTGAATAGGTTGCTTATGGGCAGACATCCTCCATCGTAGACTGCATCATCGCTTACCACCAAGCGACATAGTGGCCACACGTAGGCCCATCAAATATAAATCCTGTTGGGCTTCTAGCTAGCCATGACAATTAACAGATATGTTTTTAATGATCACAACGATAAACGAAATAGAATACTTACCAATTGGCTCCAGGAACACGGTATTAGCAAATCGAACTTCAGGAATCCATAGCGCACACACCACGTGCGCCCAAGTACCTTGATCCGTTTGCTTGAACGCACCTAAATACAAACAAATTTAAATCATAACACATAAGCAACAAAATACAATTTTCCTTAACAAAACATGTCATGAAAACTGTTTAGTAAATATAAATGCAAATGTAACCTTTATATTTATTGCATTAAGGTAGATTATTGAATGCTTACCGCCTGTGTTAGGGCAGAGTACGCAGTTGACTAGCCGCGATGGTGATTGCAGACATCGCCGGCACAGCCATTGCCCTTCAGGAATGTATGGCACCTGAGTAGAAAAATTATTTAGTAGTTTGTGAAACAATTATACGAACACTTTTAGTAAGTACGAATTGAATTTTGTATTCGAAAATAGGGCTGACGATTTTCTCTTAGGGAAAAAGCCCTTCTTATAAAATGAGATTAAAAAACAGAATACGAACACAATAGGCCGCATTTATAACATAACATTAAGCCTTTTATCCCTGAAGGGATAAAAGGTGTATAATTGCGGCACTTCATGCCACTGTGCAATGTAACACCCACTTTTCACTATTTATGTTACGAGTCCCATGTAATAGGGAGTGAGCCTATTGCCATATACCGGGCACAATACCCGACTCCATGCTACTACTGAGAAATTAAAAAAAAATACCCAGCACTACTTTGTCCGACCCGGAAATCGAATCCGAGATCCCTTGCCCGGCAGTCGCACTTGCGACCACTAGGTTGGCGGACGTAATTATGATTGCAGACTATAAAAACAAAACAAAAACAGGAGTGATTCTTAGTTCCGAACTCATTATCGATTTCATCCTTTTTCCAGCTCCTATTCTAAACACAAAAAGCATATAAATAAAAGTAAAAACTGTAACAACTCACTCCATAACAATCCTGATGCACAGCGAGGTTGCACATGTCGCAGAACAAGATCACATTTGTATTCTGACACTCTCCGTCCATGCAGATGCAGCACACAGCATCTTCGTCCACTGTGGCTGCTGTTTGTTGGCCATTCTGGGATGCCTGTAGGTTTTTTACGATTTAGGTGTTGATTAACCTAATTATTATGTTTTCGGCTTATTCACAAAGTTAAGTTTCTGCCACCGACAGTGGGTGCAAATGGAAACTATAATTATTTTACTAAGTTATAATTAAAATTACATGATAACTTCTAAAATCTAACTAACCTAAGAGCGAATGCGTTCAATGTTGGAACAACACTGCTTTTTTATCTTAAAATTATTTATTATAAAATTAATATGAAGGTTTTATTGGGGTTAAATCTAGTGGGGTGATCGATAATGTAGCGATTCGTAGCTGGGCACAAGGTGGCGACAAGAGGAGACGACTCAGTAGTTCGAATGTTGCAATACTCCGTAGAACCTTCTATGCATCAAAGTAGGTGTAATGTCTTGATTCAGGAGATCTGGGCCTGGTGACACGGCGTTGATCACGGTGTAGGTACATGTGTCGGCACCGATACGTAACACACGAAACTGTTTGACTGCCGTCCAGCAGCAGCGCGACAGTCGCCGCGTCGCGTATCGCTGAATGCTGCTCATGAATATGAGTCTCTAGCATGGCTTGAAACTAGTCGAGTTCCCGTCAAACAGTAAGGTGAGCAAGCCGTAAACATAATAATTAATTTGAATGAGTCATGAACATCAAAATATAAACTTTGATTAACCTGTTGAATGCTATATTTCTTAGAAACCGTGTCTCATATACACATTCCAACAAACCAAGTACTAATTTATAATTATCTCTAAGTACAGTCTAAGATTTAATTAATTTACTAGCACCAGGTCTAGGTCACCTAGCTGTTGTGCAGAATAGACTATAGACCAATAGATGTATTTGTAAACAAGCCAGCTACACAAACTATATAGGTCATTACGCGAGGTTGCAGGATTGAGTTTTTGATCCCTAAGTTCACTTTAGTCCTGTTGTGAATAAGAAAATAAAAATCTTCAAATCATAAACTCCAAAAAAAATCCAACTATAGAAACCCTCTATTTTTTTAAGCCATTTTTTAATATACTAAAACCTTCTCCTATGTGTAACAAAAGACTTTTTTCAAAACCACATTAAAATCGGTTCCCCCTTTTTTTCTTTTTGAAGTCAGTGAATAAAAATTAACAGCTTCAAAACTCACCTGAAAATAGGACTCCTTCTCCAATCTATCCATTAGCAGTTCCAATGTATCGACAGTGACTGCAGGCAGGTTCTGCTTGACCCTTGTCTTATTGATAATGGCGAGCCACGCAGTGTCCTCCTCATCCACATCATATTCCACTTCGCCGTCTAACTCCTCAGCTGATTTCTCGATGAAGCGAATGTAGGCATTTGGTCGCGGTGGAGCATCACATACTCTCTCATTGTAGTCATCAACAAGCTGAAAATGTGAATTTTATTGAAATAACGATTTTTTATTCCATTTTTATTTTATTTTTTTAAAATCTATATTTGAGATATCAAAAAAACAACAACAACTAGTCTAAAGAAGTAATAAAAAGGGGATTAATGCACAATCAGGGGCAAAGGTCTTTTGTTCATTTAGCACTCAAGTCTAAGCCTTCTAATATGTGAAGTTACAATAACTGCCTTTCATCAGTACAGTATAGAGTTAGTAAGGCAGAGAGCCTCTTATTAAATGTAAGACCCAATTACAAGTGGAGTTTCATGCCAAAATTCAAATACCCAAAAAATATTTGGGTAGCCCACTCTATTGACAGACTCAGATTGACCAATAGGGAACTCTCATTACATAAATATTAAATACAATTAAACTGTCAAACACCAAGCGGTCACCGGTGACCGCAACCTATTGTTCTATAATTGTGTCTATATTGACGGTACTCGACGAGTTAAAATACATAATAATTTGATTATTTTATAAAATATATTGATTTTAAAATTTGTTGAAGTCCTGTACAAAAGGTGTCCACATAATTTTCGCTTTATTCTTAGGCATACTAAGAGATGGAAATGAAAAACTAGCTATAAGAATTTTCATTTTTAATGAAAGATTTTTGAAGTCCCAAACCTCTTCCACACCCTTTGCTACACTCTGACCATCAATTTTCCATACAGAATTCACACCTGTAAACAACTCAGAGAACTCTACACTTGAATTTGTAATTTGTATTGTGTCACAAAAACAGAGAACAAAATTATAACAAAACTTTCCAGCCTACCTTGAAGCTGGCTTCAGGTAACTTGACATGAGGTTCGACGGGAGGCTCCACTACTGGCAACGGCTTTTCCAATTCAGCATTCGTCTTCTGCCATTCTTCCAGAGACATTATAGGCAGAGGTTGGTCAATCGGGATTCGGCTGATTTTGCCATCAATCTCAAACTGAACCACTTTCTGAGCTTCTGCAAAAGTTAGAGCCTCTTTCGGCGGACTCTGAAGGGCGATGTCCCCTGTAGGCACGGCAGCTCTACCTCTTCCCTTCTTCCGATGATTAGCTACGGCAGGCGTCGCCGGGGTCGGATTATCGTGATCATAATGAACTAAATGATATTGTAACCCGCACAAACTCTTATACACTTTATCACACTTCTCCAAAGGACACTGATACGGCGGAGGCCGGTTTTGCCGCAGTTTTTTGCAAAATTCAAAGACATCAAAGTCCAAGCCCATTTTGCTAGTTTTTAGAACACTTTTCTTTATTAAAGTAATGTCATTGTATACATTGTTTTATAGAATATTCGCTGATTTAACGTAGCACATACAGAATGAACATAATTATCAAAATAAATACGATTTTATAGCGCAGGAAAGTGAAAGGCGCAAAAATATTATTTTTTGTTTGACTTCGTGGTTTAATTGTCAAATAGTGCTGTAGTAGTACCTACTACTTAGGCAAGGGCAAACTAGCTACGTCCTTGTTTGCTTTAGTCGATTACTAAAAAAATGCGAAGTGAAAGACCATATTATTTTTTTTACAAAGTATTATTTTTTTACATTTAGAAGCTTTGAGATTTTAAGTCAAGAAAATTCCAGTACAGTAACCCAAAGTTCATGACAGTTTTATTGATTTTTGGACAAAATCGAATAATTTTTTATCTACAATGTTACTACTCGATTTTTAGACAAAATTAATAGTCGATTGTAACATTGCCATTACAAAAAAGTGGATTGCAGAAATATAGAATTTTCAAGAACATTCTACTCTATGATTTAAAAAGTCAGCTGTCATTTCTGAATAGTTTGTTGTTGTGAGTGTTGACAAAAAAAAGAATAAACTTTTTCCTGTGTGAATTTGCATTATTTTCTCTGAGAGAGCAGTTTTACAATCTTATGACAATGGATATATATGGATATGCTGGTTTTCCTTATAATCAGTCGGATGAATTAGCGAAACAAATGTATGCGCATCAGGCCCTGGCTTCGTCGATACCCTACAATAATCGGGCGTTAGCAGAGCCGCATACTATGCCTGCTCCCACAGGAACACCATGGAACGTCCAGGGTTTACCCTGGGGAATGCCGTCACCTCCTCAGCTGGTCCAGTTTACTGGTCAGCCACAACTCATGGAACCAAAAATTAGTCCTGTAATCCACTGCAAGAGAAAAAGCTTGGACGTGGAACCAGTCATGTAAGTTTCTTATAGGAAAAAACCATATCTTCAACATATCCACTTACTAGAATTTGAAACTATCATAAAAATAATGCGAATGAAGGTACTTTTGTCTGACATTAAATGCTTATTCTACAAAAAAACTACTTGAATGTATTAACCACTTGTATGCCCATATATGAGACACAATAGAAAATACATTATGTCTCGCGTGGATCTACGTTTAGTTTAGACACATGACGGGTTAATCACAAATATAATAAGTCTATAAATGTAGTTATATGGATAGGTATTAAGTGAAACATTACTTTCATCACTATAAATAAACAAAATCAATCAGTGTCGTTAATCTCACAACACATTACATCAAGAGATAATTTGCAAATTCCACTATAGCAAGTTTAGTAATAAACATATATCTTGACTATTTCAGACCAGCAAAGCAACTAATAACTGAAGAGAAAATGGCCGCCCACCTTAACAGTCTTCACATATCATCAGAGTACACAACACATGCCCTCGCTACTCCACAAGATGTTATGGACATTGGTATGGAGCCCGTTAGTGAAAAACTGAAGGGTCACACAATAGTTTTGTCCGAAGAACTGAAGAAGTTACAGGAAGAACCTTTATTACCAGCTGCACTTATTGATAGGTGAGGATTTTTTGTGACTATAATAATATAGCAACAAAACTAAGCTTATGAGCTGTCTCATGGTATAGCCAGGGTCGTCATGTTCTAACTAATCACTTAGTACACAAATCCTTATCCTTACTATAATATTATAAATTGGAAAGTGAGTTTGTTTGTTTGTTTGTTCCGCTTTCACGCAGTACCTACTAAACCAATTGCTTTCAATTTTAGCAGATGTTAACCCATAAATCACCAAGCGGTCACCGGTGACCGCTTTCCACTAATATTACATTACATTACATTATAGACCTTATTTGTAATGTTTAGAGACTACTTTTGTATGACCAAATTTAGGGGGTGGATTTCAACAGGTTAAGTTAGAAGTCTGGATTAAATAATAGAGTACTTTTTATCCCGGAAAAATTTGATATTCCCAAGGGAAAATAAAAGTATTGATATAGATGGCGCTGTATGTATTGGTATATGTTACATAGGCTACTTTTTATCCTTTTGTGACGTGAGCGAAGCCATGGGTAAAAGCTAGGATCATATAAGTCTGGTCAGTCTGGCTTTTTTAATGCAAAACATCACATTTTCTGTTTGTTTTGCATACATCATGGTTTAGTCTCTGATTTGGTTATAACTAGGAAAGTATGGTATCAAGATAGGAATAGAAGTCTCCTTGCAAACAGCAGATTATTCCATTCATAGTACATTGAGATTGGTCCAATCATTATTTTGTTTGGCAAAAATTGTGTTTGACTTTTGGCATTATACCGGAACTGATTATCTAATATCTGATGGAAGTGGCTGTTTATGATATTATCTGAAACTAATATCTGTCATTTTAGAAGTATTTTAAAATTACATAGAAATAGACTATAGTTTGTATTGTACAGTCAATATTTATATTCTACAAATTAGAAACATTTAAAAATCACCTTTATAGCATTGGATTGGACCATTGCACATTACGAAATCTTTGTGATTTCTACTCACCTTGACTCCTTGTATTAAAGTCTATTTTAGTATGACAATGTATTCTATTGTGTTCCAATCCTGAAGGTCATTGGTCCTATGTCATACTGCATATTTTTAAAATGCAAATAGGACTAACTTTGTATGACACATGTTTTGAAAAGTATGGATTTTATTTTTAAATCAAAGCTCTACTTTTCATATGGACTATAATTTCTTTCTTTATTAGTTAAAACAAAGTAATTCAAACTATTGTTTCATTTGGAAACATTCCAGCTTTGTACAGTTCCATACTTTATATCTATAATAATAATAATAATAATAATAATTGGATTCGCTACTTAAAAAGTATTTTGAGAGTAGCGAAAACCTCTATGATACACACTCGATCTTGTACTGCGTATTTTATCCATTTTCAAACTACTATGATTTGATTATGTTTTCATTGTAAAATACTAAGTTACAGTATCAGCAAAAGTAATTTAGTAGGTCACTGTTGCATTAATTCAATAGTAAGTTATAAATACGTCTGTTCGCATCGAACGACAATCGAGTACTCAATCTATATCTATAGTTAGCTCTAGATATTTTTTGTTTATTTGAAATAGTTACTTAAATTTTTTACATAACATAACATCACGCCTTTTATCCCCGAAGGCAGAGGTGCACATTACAGCATTTAATGCCACAAATAGTGAAAAGTAGTACTTTTCACTATTTATCAACTCGACTCAACTCGTACTAAGGCCTCTGAGAAATTTTTTAAATACCCATTAATACTTTGCCCGACCTGGGAATCGAACTCGAGACCCCTTGCGCGGCAGTCGCATGACTCCGCCAACGAGTTTTGACTACGTCGTTGGCCGAGTCGTGCGACTTTTAATAGAAAATAAATTTTAAGATTACATAATTAAATAATATTTTTTACATTTCAATATTATTTATGTCATTTTATTTAAAGTATATGAATACATGCAAAAACTACTTTAACATCATAAAGCAATAGAAATATTAGGCACAAATTATATTATCTTTATATTAAAAAAAATACAAGAAACTATTAGCCATTCATTCCACTAAATAATTCATTATTACCTCTTGCTAACTCAAGTATCAACTTTCTCTTCACCGAACCACCTTTTTCCTAATACTTACATAACTTCTTTACAGATTGGAGAAACCACACATGTCTCTAGTAGTGTGGAAGCCCAGAGAGAGTATCCTAGCCAACATCCAAGAAGAAAAGAAAGAGGATGAGAAACATCCGCAGAAGAGGAACGGACTCCTCGTCACACCAAACCACCAATCGGACGATGTTGAGATGTGATATTGAAGCTAAGTTACTTAACTTGAACTTTGTACCTATATTAACATTATATGTAAGTCAGTCAGTTTTAAGGCTCTTTGTTGATTAGCAGCTGTATTCAAGTGACGGTCCTACGTACATGTGACATGGACAAATAGAAATGTGACTTAATTGTGTGACGATATGGTTCATATTTCTTTGATTATGTACAGAAATCTTGAGACAATGCTTGTTGTTGAATTTAGAACTTTGTTAACACAGTTTTCAACTGTAATTATATTTGCAACAAAGTATCGCTTACCATGTTTTACCGTATTATGTGCATAGGGTCTAGTTTTGAATGTTTTTCGGAGCGGTTTTAATAAATAATTATCCGTAATCTAAATTAAATTGTTAAATAAGTGTCACATTATGTCTTATGTAATTTGAAGTTTGATGTATGTCCGGTTTATGCTGTGGAATTGTGCACAAATAAAAAATAACCCAGTTGATAATCATACATAATAATAACATTAACCATTATGAAAAGGGTTATTATGTTTTCGGCTTACATACGTAATCATCACGCGCTGGGCCCGCAGACTTAAGTAGCCAGTAGCAGCGCGACAGTCGCCGCGTCGCGGGTCGCGAAATGCTTCTCATGAATATGAGCCTCTAGCATGGCTTGAAATTAGTCGAGTTCCTCGTCAAATAATTATGTGAGTAAGCCGAAAACATAATAATTTATTATGAAAAGAGATCCAACGTATATGATAGAGAAAAGAATATTGAACATCTCTTTTGTTTCTTTTATTTTTTTAACTTGTGTTCATACTACTTATCCAGTCGTGTGTGGATGTGGATCCACGCGAGACACAATCAGGCGCAATGTATTTTCTATTGCGTCTCATACCGGTGCATTCAAGCGGTTAAACTTCAAGCGGTTAAACATCATTACTAACGTCTATACGTATTTGACTTAAATCATTTTACAGTTGTAATTCAGCTAGTAATATTTTTCGCTTCGAAAATGCGACTATCTGTGTTAAATCAATCAGGATTGTCTCTCGCATGGTAAAGTTGTATAAAATTGTCTGAATAATAACAACCTCCGTTTGCAAGAGGATGTCATTAAAACAAATCAAAATCATTTTAATTAAATTTTAAACTGTCAAACACCGCGAGGACACCGATGACCGCAACCTATTGTTCTTTAATTGTGTCTATAATGACGGTACTCAAAGGGACAATAACTTAATTTTTTTGCATCTATACAACTAATATACCCTGCTTCATTCAATCTTTTTTTTTCATTCATTTTCAATCTTTGCGAGAGAAATAGTAATACTATAAACTTAACTACTAACTTATAGTGTTGAATAAATTATTGTAATTGAGATTCAAAATATATTTTAAAGCTTTCTTTTGTTTATAAAGCACCTGTAAAAAATCGCACGTACTTTTGGGTTTTATGTTATTAGGCTTAAAATATTGTATGATAGGAAGAGGTTAAATATCAATATTTTTTTGAATACATAGTTGTAATATTTTGTCGAAACTTACATTCTGGACGACTTATCTCGTATACATAACAACATCACGCCTTTTATCCCCGAAAGCGTAGGCAGAGGTACACATTATGCCACTGTACAATGTATGTAACACCCACTTTTCACTATTTATGTTATGAGTCACATGTAATAGGGGGTGAGCCTATTGTCATATACCGGGCACAAAGTAATACTTTGCCCGACCCGGGAATCAAACCCCTTGCCCGATAGTCACACTTGCGACCACTCGGTCAACGAGGTAGTCAACAGACATCTCGTAAACAGTGTAGCTTTTTACAGTCCTATAAAATAGTACCTTAATTAAAATGCTAATTGTACAATTTCTTGTTATTTTATTCACGTTTTATTAATTAAGTATACATAATTATATTGCTATTAAGTGTGCCGTTTTTGCACACTAGATGTCGCTAATGTAACATGAGGTTCTGTTTTTTTAAATGAACTTAGCTAGGGTCAATTCATCGGACATTCAGTTTTAGACAGCTACAATGACTGGAAAAATAGATTTCACGTTACTTAATGCCAGGTAGGTAAGCAAAAAAGAGTACCTTCATGTTAAAGAGGCCTACCAACCAAGCCTACCAAACAGACGTACTTGTCAGTTTATCATAAAATTTTATGTAGAATTATTATTTGACAATAGGCTTGTATTACATGGGACTTATAATATAAATAGTGAAAAGTGGGTGCTGCGTACAGTGGCATTAAGTGCCACAATGTGTACCTCTGCCTACCCCTTCGGGGATAAAAGGCGTGATGTTATGTATGTATTATTTAGAAGTTATTAATTTCCGAACTAGTAAATTAATTCCTAATGGCCGTAGATAAGTTGTCTCTCTTTGTGGTGGCCTTAATTCATATTCCAATCTATCAGAAAGGTATTGATATTTAAAACAATTTTACTGGGAAGCTTGAAGATGTAGGTTATGCTCGAATTGTGTAAAGTTGGTCGATTTTGTACTGTTTGTCTGTAGAAATAAATGTAAGGACATAACGTATAATTATGATTTTTATTTATACCCCAATGTTCCATGTTCTAACTCCAATTCAACATAATGTTCCCCCTGTAGAAGTCCTCGTATAGATTACATTCAACTATCGTGACGTGAAATAGCAAATTAATTATTTCGTTAGGCGTATAACTGTTCGATTCAACTCCGTGTTGGCACCGCGACGCTCACCGCGTCGGTTGTCGCGCATGCTGCTCATGAGTATGGGCCCTTAGCTTGGGTTGAAATCAGTCGAGTACCTTCGTCGAACAATTTCGTAAGGTAGCCGTACATAATTAATTAGCCTTGTATACCGTTTAATTTTAGAACTATTACTCTTCGCGAATAAAAGCAATAATTGCAAAGATATAACAAAAACAATAGTTTTAACGTAATTATTTTATTTATTTATTTATTCATCTCTTAAAAATATTAAAATTAACAAATTCACATCGTGTCTCCTGAATACTGGTTCAACAGCTCAAAATTACATTTACATACAATAATCCGCCATCCGGTCCATATATTACATGATCTCATACAGATAGCAAATATTCTATTTCCTCTAGTTTTCTTTCCTTACAGTCTTTCTAATTGTACATCACATAGAAAATTCTGGAAGACTCTTTGGTGGAACTATAAAACACCATTTTTAATATAACATTCCATCTTCGTATAATCTAGTGAAATTCATCGAAATATCTTATTTGAGAAATAAACCTGAATATCAGTTACAATCAGCACCACAATAAAATCTATAAAATAAAATAAAACAAAAGTACATAAATTTTAGAACCTTATACCTTTGAGATAAGGTTAAAATTATAACAATATCATTGTACTTTTGATATTTTAAATACTCCCGAATAGATTCTTTATAAATAAGTTTAACTTTTCTTATTCATTAGTCGTATTTACAGATTTAAACACTATAATTACTATGTCTGTGTAGTACAGACTTGTATTGTGTTTGTGTGATTAATATCATTGTTTTCAGATTTTACAATACTATGATAATAATGTCTTTTTAAGGAAAATCACGTTTAATATAAGTAGATACCACGTACTGTGTTCGTGCCACATAGCAGTTGATCAACAATTAGCACTTAACAAAGATTTGTAATTTATGTGGGCAGATATCTTACGTCACAATACACACATTGAAGTGCTAATAATTATTACACATCACAAGATTGAGAGAACTTATTATAAATCGATTTCAGATAATATCCAATCAAATAAATAATAGATTCACCTTATTGACCTACATAAATAATTTCGATTTCGTACTTAACAAGTCTTAAAAATATCTATCGGAATTTAATTCGATTATTTTAAATAAATGAGTCGTTGTTTCTAATCGATATCTCCGTCCTCCGCGCGTCAACTCCATTAAAATCATAAAATTCACAAGGACATAAATATCACAGGAAACTATTAAAAACAAAAGACAGAGACTTTAAATGTCTATGGCAAATATGGCCGCCATTATAGGAACCCGCCAAAACATGGCCGACCTTTAAAAATCGCGAGATGATATATTCCTCCAGTATAACTAAATAGGGCTAAAATATCACCTCACATAGTCCTCGATCATTCATTGTCTCCGTAATTATTAAAATGTCACATTTCCCGCTGTGTTACAACGATTTTTCGTATTTTCAAAACATGTTAACTTTAACGGTAGCTGTGTCGAGGTCCCTCTTCATGCTCTCCAGCTGTTCGATGTCTTGGCCCGAAGTCTCACATTTTTGCACCACCAAAGAATGATAGAAGTGAATCGCGAACGCCACGAAGACGATTAATACTGTAAAAGATAAATAAGCATTATATAAATAAATCGTCCAAATTATGGACAGGATAATACAAAAGAAAAAAAAGTCAAAGTACAAAGAAAAGGAGAAGGATAGAATGTCCAAGATAACACAATACATACTGGAAGTTGAAAAGGTAAGTATGAAGTTCATTAAAGTAATATTAGGATATTCTTAGAAAACCCAAAAATAACCTGATAGTTATTTGGTCGCCAAGCAAGTTAGTAAGTACTCATCATAGACCCACTTACCGAGTTATTCATTCAAGATTTATCTTAGTACAGTGCGGTCAAGTAAATAGAAAGGTTTGTTAGACGTAAAGGTAGGTAACGAGTTGTGAGCCCTTTACCTAACTACGTACGAACGCCTTCGCAATGGCGTTTGACCAGCGGAGGCATTTGATAAACGTATGCGCCGCGCAGACGCCGCGTATTCATTTACCCTTGCACTGATGTAGCGATAAGGCGACGCCTGCGCGCCGCATACATTTATCGAATGTCTACGCTGGACAAATGCTAGAGTAAAGCCGCTCTAAAACTCAAATGCAAACTCGAGTTTGATTAAATATGGAAAGACTGTAATTCAAGTGGGAAGGTATTTTTACGCTTTTAACTTGGCATAAAAGCACAAAGAATACCTACAGAATGTTTTTAAACGTAAGAACCTTTATCAAAGAACACGAAAAAGCAAATAAAATTAGTCCAGCATATAACAGAATTTTAATCCACAATTAAGTACCTGCTAAGCTATCCTCTGTAGGTAACTTTCAATTCGAAAGACCGAAATAAACTCGATCGCAACCCGACATGTCACTGGTTGTGAGAATAATCTCGACCAACGACGGGCGAGAATGCGATCGAGCTCATTTCGAAAGTTCGAATTGACAGTTACAGAATAACCTAGCAGATTACGATTAGAGACAGCGACAGATGCAAAGAGAAGAGGCACTCACAGAATAATCAGTGGTATCACTGTACCTGGTATAACGATGACCGTGGCTGCTGTCGCCGCTGCGAACGAGTAGTCCCAGAACTTCACCCAGCAGAGTATCGCTATCTCCACCAGGAATAGGAAGAGACCTGGAAAAGAAAGAGAATCAATGAGGCAATGGAACTGGAGATATCATATTGGTCACATCAGTGATTTGTTTTGTCGTTAACTTTTATGTATAATATCTTAGCTAGGTTA